GACATCATTTACATTGCACCAGCGGCAATCAGTTGCTCAGCAATCAATTCATTCTTTGTCTGTTGAGCATGCATCAGTGGTGTTTTATGGGAATTGTCTTTGTGATTCACATTAGCACCTGCTTTGACCAAAGTCTGGACAATTTTCTTATTTCCCTTTTTTACGGCCCATATCAAGGGTGTTTGTCCCTTGTCATCCGCCACATCTACGTCTGCACCGGAGTCTATCAGTAACTCTGCAATGGTATCACTGCTGTTTAAGATAGCAATTATCAACGGCGTTCTCTGGTATCTATTTTGGGCATTAACATCTGCACCAGCTTTGATCAAGGAAACAACAGTTTTCTCGATTCCAAGAATTGTAGCCCAAATCAATGGAGTTCGTCCTTGGTCATCGAGGACATTCACATCTGCGCCTGCATTTATCAGTATTTGAGCTGTTTCTTCTTTGATGTTTTGCACAGCATGCATCAATGGTGACATCTGAGACTTGTCTTTGATGTTAACATCCTGACCGGCTTTTATTACCTCATTGACCATTTGATCTCGTCCCTTTTTGGCAGCCCACACAAGTGCTGCACCTAAAACTGCTTTACTATCAGTGGCAATAGGATCTGCACCAGCATCAAGAAGTGTTTCTGCAATGGTTTCTTTGTTATTTTCGACAGCAATTATCAATGGGATTCGTTGGCATTTATCTTTTGCATTAACAACTGCATCAGCTCGTATCATAGCATTGACAAATTTTTCGTCACCTTTTTTGATAGCCAAGGTAAGTGCAGTTTCGCCGTTGCTATCGACAAGATTTACGTCTCCTCCAGCATCAAGAAGTCTTTCTGTGATGTAGTGTTTGTTATTATTGACAGCAATAATCAATGGTGATTTCTGGTCTTTATCTTTAGCATTTACATCTGCGCCAGCTCTTATTAGAACATTGACGATTTTTTTATCATTCTCGTAAAGGGAACCTGAGCGGTCATGCATATTTTCGACAACAATCATCAATGGTGTTCTCTGGTCTTCATACTGTGCATTAACATCTGCGCCTGCTCCAATCAAATCATAGGCAATTTGGTAATTGCTATTACTTATAGCACAAATCAGTGCAGTTTGTCCATTACTATCGGCATGATTCACGTCTGCACCAGCATCAATAAGCCTTTCTGCGATTTKTTCSTTGTTATTTGTGACAGCAATCATCAATGGTGAACTTTGGTGTTTGTCTTTTGCATTGACATCTGCGCCAGCTTTTATTAGAGCATTGACGATTTTTTCATCATTCTCGTCTGTGTAACGAAAGCTTTTATGTATATTTTCGACAGCAATCATCAATGGTGTTCTCTGGTCTTCATACTCTGCATTAACATCTGCACCAGCTTTTATCAGAACATTGACGATGTCGTCATAGCTTCTTCTTATAGACCAAGCTAACGCTGTTTCACCTTTGCCAAGATTCACGTCTACACCAGCAGCAAGAAGCAGTTCTGCGATATTGTCTGCGTTATTTTTGGAAATTTTTACACTTTCAAAATCGGTGACGTACTCCACTGCTGATTTTCTCTTCGGATCAAACATACTTGGATCAGCTCCAAATTCTGAAAGTGCTTGAATAACTTCTTCTTTTCCTTCGATTTCAGCATTCATCAACGGTGTTTTTCCTGACACGTCCCTTACATTTATATCTCCATTAGTGCCGATGAGTGCAACAGAAATAGCTTTCAGGGGGTCATTTATGCTGATTTCTAGTTTACCAGTGGTAACTGGTAAAACAGCGCTTCCTTTAGTGAGCAACCAAATAATTACAGTCCAGCCTAATTGTTCAGCCTCATAAACGATGGGCGATGATTTTCCAGTTTTATCGATTAAAGTAACAACTGTATTTGATGCTCTCTTCGAAGAGATTGATGTATTTTCGGGATGATAACTTGGAAGCGATTGTTCTGAAAAAAAAAAGACACCAAAATATCAGTTGGAACGTTGGTGAGGAACATGCGACTTCATGCACTGAATCGAACAATAGTTAAGGCGTTTAGTATTTTTTTGCGATTTTGTTTGTCTAATAACAATTGACAGTATTATATAGAAGCCTATTTGTTATTTTTCTGAAGCTCGTAGGAAAACCTGAACCTCATTTCATCGTCATTGTCAGTCTCATTGCTCTTAAACAGCATTAGCAANAGAATCTACATTTTCCCCGAGTTGAGGCTAACCCTGCTCATACCTTAGGTCTTATGGGAATACAGGGATAATCTCAACTCGGGGAAAATGCAAATTTTCAAGTCTATTGTAATAACGACATTTTCTCGTGCGCTCTTTTGTGTTTGTAAAGTCTTTGCGCAAGAGAATCTGTTGTCAAATAAAGCAGCGGTTATTCGCTATGAATTCGAAACTGGAGTATTGGACTAGGACTTTTGTATTTGTGAAGTTTCAAGCTTGCTAGTTACCATTTTAAGACGATTTTGCATCGAAAATAGTCTCGCCTTCTTCACCTGTCCAGCACCCGTTCAGTACAGTTTCAACATGAAACAGCTCAGCAAATACTGGCTTTTTTCCACATTAGACAGCAAAAGGTATTTTTCCGTTTAAATGACAATGTTTTTATTGTTTAAATTCAAATAAATTGCGTAATAGAATCTGCTGTCAAGTAAAACAGCGGTTATCCGCTTTGAATTCGAAACTGGAGTATTCCTCAATGAGAAAGCTTTTGTTATTTCTTTTAGGCACTTGTTGATAGTTTTTGAGTACTTTTTTACTCTGTTATCGGCGAAGTGTCCGCCATCTTGGATTCTTGAGAAAAGTTTTCAGTTCGAGAAAGACTGCAAACTAATAGATATGGCTTCCTGTGGTTGGAGAGAGACTAAAAACTGCGACACGACAGATACATTGGAGAAAAGGTAAAACTATAGCTGGCTAGCCACAGCTAGCCCGCTAATGATTAAATGTGTAAACATTGCGTCAGCAAGGTTTCGATATTTCTGAGTTTTGATTTAAGCGAGGGCTGCGTGCTTCAGCGGGTATAACTGATTTTCTGGTGGAGTTGATTGACTTAAACCTGTATCTGTGATATGTGATACTCCTGTTCGAGCTTTATGCATGTCACGTGACGCACCTGTGTTAAT